CAAAACCTCCACAATTTTCTGTGTGCTTCCTCTCAGATTGACTTCATTTGAAGCTGTCATAGTGACAGCTTCTAGTGCCCATGTTTGGGAGTAAGATCTGAGTTAACCATGCACATGGAGGTAGTAGCGATCTCTCTACCGGAGTGAACCTACAAAGTAGGGTGATGATGTTCCTGCCTGCGTCATCCATGAGCTACCTAATATTCCTTAGTAAGTCCTTTTTCTGATTAAAATACGTTTCTGGGATTTTCAGCTCTTATTATTAGTCAGCCTTTTGGCTGACTGGCTCCTGACTCAGTCTTTGGCTATCCACGTCCAAGGCAATGAGTTTGGCCAAATACCTCTAAACTCTATCATGCTCTGATAAAGAAACTATCAATTTAATCTTTTCTACTGTAGAAACATGCCTTCTTTTCCATCACCTACTGAATAATACTATAATTATATAGTTGGCCACAAAATATTTTCCCAAAGCAAGGCTGTAATGGCATTTTAAAATTAAATTTTTATGCAATGTGGTCATAAAATAATAGCAAGCCTAAAAGAAATTACAGTTGACCCTTGCACAATGCGGGGGTTAAGGGCACTAGCCACCCCACACATACCCTATTCAGTCAAAAATCCACATTTAACTTTTGACTCCCCCCAAATTTAACTACTAATACCCTACTGTTAGCCAGAAGCCCTGCTGATAACATAAACAGTCAATTAACACATGTTTTGTATATTATATGTATTATATACTGCATTCTTACAATAAAGTAAGCTAAGAAAAGAAAATGTTATTAAGTAAATCATAAGGAAAAGAAAATACATTTACAGTACTGTACTCTACAAAATGTGTGTATAAGTGACCTGCACAGTTCAAACCTGTGCTGTTCAAGGATCAGCTGTACTTATATATTTAAAACTTCACTTGTGGTGACCATAGAATAACATAAAGACTTGTCGAATCACTGTGTTATACACCTGAAACCGATGTAATATTGTGTGTCAACTATACTCAATTTAAAAAAAAAAAAAAAAACCTAATTCAACAATTTCTGGAGAAAACTAAATTCAAAACTGTAGTTACAGTTTATTAATAACAATGGAAGTGCCACTACAATGTATGGAATATAGTCTGACATAAATTTAGAGAAAGCTTTATACTCCCCAATAAATAAACTAAAAAGTAATGCAAGAAGCAAGGGGAAAAAAAAGAGAATGAGCAAAAGTGAAATAAAGGTAAATACAATAAGGATAAAATCAGAAAAAAAGCAAGTTAAAATAACCATATATTAACAGGTTCCTTGAATGGAACAATAAATTAGACAGAACTCTGGCAATAAAAATAAGTCTTTCAGGGGGGAAAAAAAAAGTAGTGGTAAGTACATAATATTAGAGATCATAATCAAGAAAAAGCCAAGAAATGGAGAAAAATAAAAGTTAGTACTTTTAATTTGGGTTGTTGGACCCAATTTCAACATGCAAAGGAGTGGGGTGGTTTTTCCACAGGAACAAGCAATTCTCAGACATGAGCAGGGTGAGAATTCAACTCAATGCTGATAGTGTCTACCCCAAAATAGCATCAGATCCACAGGTTAAGGGTTCAGTCCTAAAAGACTGCCTCCCCCCCAACACACACAGGTTGTTACCTGTACTTCTACCTACTGCCTATAAACCACAGGTTCCCCTTTGGGTTCAAATTTGCTAGAGCAGCTCACAAAACTCGGAAGCATTGCACTTACTAGATTACTGGTTTACTATTAATGCATATCACTTGGGAACAGCCATATGAAAGAGATGCAGAGGGCAAGGTCAACAGGAAGAGGTGCAGAGCTCCCATAAGCTCTCTAGGTATGCCACTCTCCCAGCACCTCCACACAGTTACCAACCCAGAAGCTCTCCCAACCCTGTCCACGTGGGGCTTTATGGAGGCTTCATTATGTAGGCATGACTGATCAAATCATTGGCCATTAGTGATCGATTCAACCTCCAACCCCTTTCTCCTCCCCTGGATATCAGAGGTGGGGGGGGAAGGTAGGACTGAAAGTTACAACCCTCTAATCATAACATGGGTTCGCCTGGCTACAAGACCCCATCCTTTCTTGAGGTCCAAAAGTCATCTCATTAACATAACAAAAGACACCTTTATGGTTCTCATCACATAGGAAATTCCAAGGCTTCAGGAGCTCTGTGCCAAACGTGGGAAAGAAGGCCAAATATATATTTCTTATTATAAATCACAATATCACAACTTTGCATAATTACACACTCATAAATTATGGAAACATTTACACTCTGAGGATAATAACTTACTAAAACAAATTAAGAGTTTAAAGAAATCTAAATAGATACCAATATAATGAACTGTAAAGCTATTTCTTATTTTTTTAATCCAACATAACACTGATATCAAAACCAATAACAGTATTTGTGTGGCTCCTTCTTCAGCCAACCATCCAGACACCTTGCTGTTTGTTTTATGTAACTATTAGCAGTTGCTATTGTAATATACAGTTATATTCTCATATATAGATACACAAAGATATAAACATATCTTGGTAACTATACATAAAAATAATATATAAATACACATATTTATTTTTTAAAACATCTCACATACATACATACTTCTATATTCCCATTCATGGCATCTCACACTTAAGCCACACTGAAGTAGGTCTTCTTCTTCCTAATACTGCTCCTTTCCTTTGCCTCTAGAGTTGCTCCCTTCTCTCTACTCCCTGTTCTTAGTCTCTTGGACAACTAAAATACACTCTCAGTGACTCCCCAGTCACTTTCACGGGCCTCCAGTGACTCAGGAGCACTTGCAAAAAAGGCTCTCCACATCCTCTAGACAGAATTCTAGGTTTTAGCTTCTAGGCTCCCCTTGCCCCTCTATCCCTGACTCTCTTTCCCTGCCTAAGTAAGAGTATTAACAAAGGTCGGTGGCTTTGCTGCTCTGAGCTGGGACTTCTTCTCTCTTAGCTTGGGCTAACATTGACTGGATGTGGGAGGAAGGCCCTAACTTCCCCTACTTGGACTCTGAGGAAGTGTCTGCCTTGCTTTCTGGAAACTAAAGACAACCTAGAATACTGGAAGAACAGGAGGTCTTACTCTATTATAAAAGGTCCAGAAAGAGACTTTTGAGGTAGAGTGGGGCAACTACCCATCATCTGAGGTGCACTCCTCTTAGCCTCCACCCCTCACAGGTCTTTCTTCTGACTGCTATGCCACTACCATGGGCAGCTCTCTCCTACCCTCTAAAGTTCAAGCTTAAGCTTGTATGAAGCTTAGAGAGGTCCCAGGGTTTGTACCAGCTTCCTACCCCTTCCTTAGCCCTTCCTCAATGCCCTCACCTTCTTTCCTGACCCCCAACCAGTTCTCAATCTTTACTTCTCTTATGGTAACATTCCTTACCCACAGCACAGACACCATCTCACAGCTAGCCACTCACCTTGTTGTCCTGGTCTGTGTTGGATTCAGGCAGAGGGTTGTGGTCTGCAGTTACAGCCATGGAATGTCTCCAAAACAGAGCCTTGCCTACATACACATGTCTGCCTTTCACAGCAAACAAGGCAGCCTGAGTGAGGTTGGGAAGGACAGCTTCTCTGCAGGGGTGATGGGCTGATTGGCCTTCAAAAGCTCTTTGTCCAGCCTTCCCTTGGTGAACACGAGCCCTCTCCCCCAGCAACACTAAGGTGCCTTTTTGTCTGGGCCCTTGACAGTCAGTCATGGTCATGGACAATTGCAAGTTACAAACGAAAATGATCTCCCCATTAACTATTTTAACTTCACAGAATCTCCAAAGTACCACCAACTTGATCTTGAGCTCCTGAAGAACAGACTACCTGGCTCATAGTTGTAATCCCAGCACCCAGTACAAAATGTTGCAAAAAGCTGATGCTCAATAAATATTTAAAGTGGCTTGTTTCACTTAACCCATTCACTCTTCTGTTAGGCAGCAATTTGTCCAGATCCCGGTGAGTAAGATGATCCAACTCTGACACCAGTTACCTCTTTTCTTCTTTTGTTCATAGCCCCATTTGTTTCAGGAATTTTCTGGTCCTCGCTCTTCAGAGTTTCAACCATGACCTGGGCCCTGACATTAGCATGCAGATCCAAAGAATATCAGTCCCAACAATGAAATTTGGACCTGGGCTTCAATTGGAGCATTTCCTGGTTATTTTCCACGTGGACAGGACATGCCTTTGCTTATTCAGTAAACACCTAAATATCAGGAAAAGGACAAGGCGCTGTAAGTGCAAAGAAAAACCCAAATCACTGCGTTAAGTAGCAGTTTGTGTGTGCACACGACCGAGTCTATGTCTTTGGGTAAGGGAGGGGTGCCAGTCATTTAAAATTAAAAGAAAAAAAAAATTACAATTTGTGACCGGGGATTCCACTTCTACTCTACCAGATCCCAGTATGTTGTGTTTTTTTTTTTTAAGTTTTTATTTTACTTCCAGTTAGTTAACATACAATGTTATCACTTCAGGTGTAGGACATAGTGATTCAATCCTTCCATACATCACCGAGTGCTCATCAGTAAAGTGCACTCCGTAATCCCCATCTCTGCTTCTAACTTTAAAGTGGATTGCGGCAATAAGGGATAAGCAGCTGCCTTCTTAAGTATTCAACGGTGAAGAGTTTGCCAGGAAAACGCAGGAGGGTTGTTTTGCTTTGTTTTTTTCGTAAGAACGCAGTATCTGCAGCCTGGAGCTTCCCACCCTGGCAAAGGCAAGGTCGAAGCAATTAAACGTTTAATAATTAAAGTTTTGTCAAAGTAATTTACGTATAATAAAAAATAAATCAATAAAGCCGGTCTTATATGGAAGAGCAATAGTAGTTTCGTCTTACAAGAAACTGCATATGAGTGCCCGGCCCCGCGCTAAACTGGGTCACAGAACCAGACGCGAATGACCTCGTAGGCTGCTGAGTTTTAACACAGAAAACTGGCAAATGAATAGCATTAGGTCTGGTGCTATTACCCGGAAGGAACACGGCTCGCTCTGCAGAGCCTCTAGTCAGACCGGAAGCATAAGACTGAGGGGTCCCTTGGGTCGAGAGTCAGCAGGGCCTCTGCTAACGCAGGGCTTGAGCGGCCTCATTCGGGAGCCCACACGCTTCCACCTATCGTGCAACTGACTCCTGAGCCCCTTCACAGTTTAAATGACTCTGAGTGGGAGAAGGAACCAGAAAAACCGACGTAGCAGAGAAAAAGCACCGGCACGCCGAGAGCCAACCTCCGATTGGCTAGAGTTGTCTTGATCCCTGTCTGTGATTGGCTGTTCCCACAAAGACGTCGCCAGCGTGCGATCCCGGCGCCTAGGCCCTGCTCGCCGCTCATTGGCTCCCGGCCTGTGGGCGGGGCCTGGGAGCCCTGCAGGAGAGGCAGAGGAGCCGGCCGCTTTGAGGCCTTCATCTGCCGGCCGGCGGTAAGTGCTGCGGTGGCTTGACCCGGCGCTTGTGCCGCTGCGGGTACTCGGCGGTGGGAAGCGGGCGTTTCCACTTTCGGTTTCCGCCGCGGCGCGCTAGTCCCGGCTGAGGAGGGAGGTGGGTGGACAGCTGTGCCTGTTCTGAAGTCGGAGGTCCTGCAGGCTCACTTTATTCTATCCCCACCAGTCCGCTGTCCGCGGGCCCTGCTCCGCGTTCTTGTGGCCGGGAGGTTACCATCCCCCTCTGCTCCAGAACCCCCGGGGTCACCGCCTCCCTCTCCCCTCTCCACTCTGGTCTGTCCTCTCCAGACTTTCCTACGCTGTGTCCCCCTCCCTCAAATGTCTTTCCCAGACTGGATCCCCACCCTGGCAAAGGCAAGGTCGAAGCAATGAAACGTTTAATAATTAAAGTTTTGTCAAAGTAATTTATGTACAATAAAAAATAAATCAATAAAGCCGGTTTATATGGAAGAGCAATAGTAGCTAGCTGACCCTAAGTCCTTCTTGCCCAGGCCACCACTTTGAACTTTTTCATGTTTAAGTCTTTATGACTCTGAAATCTAAAATAGGCTTTTGCAGCATTTCTTGATTTATCGTTTTGATATTTCTTTACCTCACCTCCCTGCTGCCACCATCTTCTCAGTTTTCGATTTCTATTTGCATTCTCCTGTTGATCTTTGTAGCTTTAAATCATAGATATCAACTTCTCTTGTGTCACCTTTAGGTGGTAGCTCTTGGTGCCCCACTGTATTAGATGATATTGACACTTCCACTTCCAACCTACTCGCAGACCTCAACGTTTACACTTAATTCTTTCATATTCAAAAATGTTTGAGGCACTCTTCTTGATGTTGGGGATATAGTAGTGAACAAAATAAGAGAATATCCCTATCCTTGTGAAGCTTCCAGCATGGGAAGTAAGATAATAAACGTGTGTGTATCAAATGATATTAAGAGCAGGATCATGGAGAAGTCATTTCAAGCTGTGAAAACAGCAGGAGCCCAAGTGGGGTAGAATAAATGGACAGGAGGTCTGCAAGAAAGTGTGGAAATTTCTCTCTTTGCTTAACTGGGCAGTGTTGCTGTTTCAGGGTTGAAGAGAGAGAGAGCTTCCCTATTGGACTGATGATTCTTCGTAGGTTAGGGATTTCACAAAACTAGGTTTTAGGATACTGGGTCCCACAGTTTGGCAGTGATAGTGGGAGGGGAAAATCAGGAGGCAGGGAGGCCAGTGAGAAGGCATGACCTGCTGCTGGCCTGTAACAGAGAGCCCTGCAAAATCTACATTCTACTCCAGTTTCTTCAGGAAGCCTACTGGACTACCCTAAATCACAGTGATTTCTCTCTCTCTCTCTTTTTTAATTTAATTTTATTATGTTATGTTAGTCACCGTGCAATACATCATTAGTTTTTGATGTGATCCACGATTCATTGTTTTCGTATAACACCCAGTGCTCCTGCAATACATGCCCTCTTTAATACCCATCACTGGGCTAACCCATCCCCCCATCCCCCTCCCCTCTAAAACCTTCAGTTTGTTTCTCAGAGTCCATAGTCTCTCATGGCTCATCTCTCCCTCCGATTTCCCCCCTTCATTTTTCCCTTCCTTCTCCTAATGTCCTCCATGCTATTCCTTATGTTCCACAAATAAGTGAAACCATATGATTATTGACTTTCTCTGGATAAAGAAGATGTGGTCTCTCTCTTTTTAAAAAAGATTTTATTTATATATTTGAGAAAGAACATGAGAGAGAGCATGAGAGAGAGAGGGGAGGGGGTAGAAGGAGAAGTAGATTCCCCACTGAACAGGAAGCCCGATGCAGGACTTGATCCCAGGACCTTGAGATGACCTGAGCCAAAGGCAGACGCTTAACCGACTGAGCCACCCAGGCACCCAATTTCTCTCTCTTGAATTTTTATTCTACCGTGAAGCTAGAGAGGTTAAGTAATTTGCCCAGGATAGAATGGTGGGGCCCAGGACCAAGCGTCTGTAAAATGAAAACAATACAATAATGGTTTCCATTTAGGGTTGTGAAATAAACTGAGTTAATCTGTGTAAAGGGCTCAGAATAGTGCCTGGCACACTAAATGCTTAAGGAGTGTTTGCTATTATTTTTACTGTATAATATGCTCTCAATTACCTAACAAATTATAAAAACATTTTGGGTCTAGGAGCTATTTCCTATGTCTACCTGGTTTATTTATTCAACAACAGCATGGCAGACACCATTTAGGTATGGCGGATACAGCCATGACTAAGACCAACAGGGCTCTTCCCTTTATAGATTCTGGCTGGTAACACAGACTTGGAAAGTAAACAAAGAAATACTATCTACTGAGCCAGAAGTCTGCCATTGATCATTCAAGTTCCATACTCTTATCTGGCCCTGGCAAAAATCTCAGGTTTCTTGCTGGGGTAGTGACTTCATCAATATGGGTTTGACTGTCATCAGATGAGCTGTGTTTTTATCTTCCAATGGGTGTTGTTTCATCTCTGCTTCTAAACGTATCACTGAAGGCTGAGGAGAGTGTCTTGGCTACTTAGTGAATGCTAGTGCTAGAGAAATTGGCAGGGGTTTAGAGGGTGTGGAGAAAGCATTGCTGGTTCCCTTATACTTTACACTCAAGTGTGCAACGCAAGAGAACAAACTGAGCATATAGGCAATGGTCTACTGGCATATTACCTTTTCTGCACCTTGAAGTATATAAATAGACATATAAACATACTAGAGAGTAAGGCTAGGGGTATTTCTGGCCTTATTTTGGATACTGAAACACCACATTTTGTGGGACCTTTCCCAAGCTCAAAAGAAACAATACTGATTTGGAGAGCGTGATTGAAGTAGGGTAGGAATGGTCTGGTGAGCAAACTCAGAGGAGAATCAGAGATGACCAAATGAATGAAAACTGAAAACTCCCAATATCCACTCACTTAGGCATCCCCAGATGTCTCCACAGTGGTATGGATAATGTGACCCAGTTGGAACCTCAGTTGAGAAGGCCAGCACTTACATTAACTAAGGTCAATAAAGGATCCAAAGGAGGAAGTTGGTTTGTTTGTTTTTTTTTCAGTCATTAATTCTCCCTTTTACTGATCCCTTTGCTCTTCAACAGAAGAACATTTTTATCTTACTTGTTTTTTTCTTCTTTTTCTTCTTCTCAGCCTTGACTACTTCTGCCTGGCTGTATTCATGTTCTGAGGAGGGAGTGAGAAGGAGCCATGGATGCTGCAGCATTGGTGGAAGCCATTGTGGAAGAAGTGGCCTGTCCCATCTGCATGACCTTCCTGAGGGAGCCTGTGAGCATCGACTGTGGCCACAGCTTCTGCCACGGCTGTCTCTCTGGACTATGGGAGGTCCCAGGAGAATCCCAGAACTGGGGTTACAGCTGTCCCCTCTGCCGGGCTCCTGTCCAGCCAAGGAACCTGCGGCCCAATTGGCAGCTGGCCAACGTTGTAGAAAAAGTTCGTCTGCTGGGGCTGCATCCAGGAATGGGGCTGAAGGGCGACGTGTGTGAGCTCCACAGGGAACAGCTAAAGATGTTCTGCAAAGAGGATGGCCTGATCATGTGTGAGGCCTGCAGCCAGTCCCCTGAGCATGAGGCCCACAGTGTCTTGCCCATGGAGGATGTCACCTGGGAATATAAGGTGGGAGATGGAGGCCAGCCACCCCGGTCTCTCCCCTGCCCCATTCTTGGCTATCTCCAGATCAAGGACTTGACCAGGAGCCCCAGAGACTAAATGAGAGCTAATTCCTTTGGCTTCTCACACCCACAGATCCTGGGGACCTGATGTAGTGAGCCACACCTCTCCTTGCATTTCCTTCCCTCCCACATCCACACCCCTTCCCTGATACCAGCATGGCTTAATGCCTAATCCAAACATGGTTTCCATACTGAGAATTTGAAGGAGACCAATTTGGGTTAGCTGGGGTTCTGAGTGCCTCGGAGGAGTTCGGGCATGAGACAGTCAAGGCTGCACCCTGCAGAACCTGCAAACTCTTCCTCACACGGCCACCAGTAGTCACTTCGCAGAGTCACTTCAACTCCCTCTGTTATCGACAAAACAGGCTTAGAAATTTGAGATCATGATCATTGATTTTAGACCTGGAAGGGACCATGGCTGAATGATTTAGGGTTGAGTGAGATTAATCTAACATTATAAGGTACCTGTGACTTTAGATTAAATTAGTTAAAGGAAGATCAAAGGCTAAGACTCAAGTCTTGCTCTTCAGCCAGTGTTCTTTCTCCTCTCCCTACCCTTTTTTTTGGTGGGGGGCGGGGGGGCGGTTATCTCTGTCATACCTGCTACTCCTTTTCTATTGTTACCTTCATCAGCTTCCAGCTTCTTGCTCTTTCCTCAGATGTCCACGCTGACATATCTTTATCAGGTTCATTATTCCAGTGATTCTGTGATCCATTGATCTAGTACTGGTCTTAATTCTCTTTCTTGAAGTTGAGATTAGAAGGTAAGAGTGTAAGACAAATCCCCTGAATTTCAAGGTGTTTTCCTATGCACGAATAATTTCTAAAAAATTATACGTATTTACTCACTCATTTTACTTTGAGTTTTAAAATAAGGAGGTAGTGAAATATAGGCATAGCAGTTAGAGAGCTGGGTTAAATCCCAGCCCAACCATTTACTAGCTAAATGACTTTGAGTAGTTCACTCACTAAGCCTGAGTTTTCTTACCTATAAAATAGGGATAATACTCAAGGGGTTATGAGTACTAAATGTAGATTTAGTGCTGAAGCCACATATGGCACCTGGTAAATCTTTAATAAAATGGTTAATATTTTTATCAGAACACTTTATGCTTTCCAGCAATAAACTGTTGTAGTATTTTAGGATACTGCTTCTTACCTTTAATTTGCATGTGAACCACCCAAGGATCTTGCTAAAATTCAGGTTCTAATTCAGTAGGTCTGGGGTGAGTCTAGGGTTCTGCATTTCTAGCAAGCTCTCTGGTACTGTGGATGCTGCTAACCCACTTGGACCACATTTTGAATAACACTTTGAATAAGGTTTTAAGAGGCCATGGGATAACAAGGCAGATACGGATAAAAATAAGCATGGATAGGAATGTCTAAGGTTGGAAATGGACCTTTTCTTCTACTTTACAGAAACTTGGAAACTGTGGGAGTTGAAATGATTGTAGGTTGGAGAGCTGCCCTGGATGTCATCTGGGCAGGAATCACTCCCCCTGTGGCATTCATTCTGGCCCATTGCCCGAGGGATGCTTATTTTCCCATCACCTGCCAATGCTAGGAAGCCTTGTCATTAACCTTGGCTGCCGCACGTGTCCTCACAATTTTTTTACTTCTTTCAGTGGGAACTCCATGAGGCTCTGGAGCATCTGAGGAAAGAGCAAGATGAGGCCTGGAAGCTGGAAGTTGGTGAGAGGAAACGAACTGCCAACTGGAAGGCAGGTTGCCACCTGGGGGAGGGAGACTGTACGGTCGCTGTGTTGTCCGGGAGCTGACCTGTGGCCGCATCCTCTTCCTCGTCTCTGTGCAGAATGTGGTGTTGAAGTCAGAGAGCCTGGGCTTCTCCAACCAGCGTTCTCTAGCAAGTGCGTGGCCTTAGGCAGGCCATGTACCCTCTCGATTCTAGTTTCTTGATAGTGATAAAGGGATAACCTCTGGGTTTATGTCCACATACGTAAGAAAGGAAAACTATGTGATTCAGGTATGCATTAGTTCACAGTGGTAAGACTTATACAGTGCTTAGTAAAGCATGGTTTCTGTTTCACTTTCCCCAGGTAGAGCATTTTTACTAAAAGTTAAGTTATTAAAATATTAGAAAATCATCCCTGTGATAAACTTGAGGACCATAACTACCAAACCATCGAACTTTTGATCCACAGAAGGTAACACTGAGCCAGTCTAAGAAAGCATAGGGAATTGATATGATATCAGTAAGGAGCAAAACTCATAGTGTAGTTAAGCTACACTGCCTTAGAGGCCTAAGTGTAATCCTTCTGGTCATTATTCTGAAAATGGAATATATTATTCTGAAAATAGAGAATAGCCTAGAGGATATAGTACCAAGATAATATCCTGGGCCCTATTAGGGTCAGTAAGAGTAGTGAGAGGGACCCAGAAGCCAGAGAGGTAGACAAAACGGTCTCCTTTATCTTGGCTTCTGTGGTGCCTGATACACAGTTGGTACCCATACATTCCAGAGTGTGTGTGTATGCATGTGCCAGCGCCCTCAGTCCTGGGGGGCCCTTACAGGTACAGAATCAGTGCTGATTTCTGGTCCTGGCTCTACAGATACAGGTGGAAACCCGAAAGCAGAGTATCATGTGGGAGTTTGAGAAATACCGGCGATTACTAAAGAAAAAACAGCCACCAGGTCGGCGACTGGAGGTGGAAGCGGCCGCAGCTCTGGCCAGCCTAGAGCAGGAAGAGGGGGAGACCATGCAAAAGCTGGAGCAGAATCACAGTGAGCTCATCCAGCAGAGCCGAGTGCTGTGGAGGATGATTGCAGAGCTGGAAGAGAGGTCTCAGAGGCCTGTCCGCTGGATGCTGCAGGTACATGGCAGGTTTTTCTGGGAACTCTGAAGGAGAGCTGAAGATAGTGTGGGACTCCAGGAGAGGATTCGCTAGCCTTCAGTGGGGCCTGTCAGCGCTCTGCCCGCCAGACGTGGATCCCATATACCACCCCCTCCACTCTGCCTGCTGCTCTACCCCTCGCATGGCCTTTTGTCCCCTTGTAGGTGGACAGCACTCAGGCAGCTCTGGCATAATACCCGTACCTCCCCTCTGGCCTGGGAGTCAAGGTGGAGTCTGGAGTCAAGAAGTATAGCCTTGCTCTCTGCCTCCCTTTCCCTTGGAGAAACCCCCTCCCAGAGCTCAATGTTGTCTGGTCCCTCTGAGGAATAGCACACACTCATGTCCTGCTTTTTTTTTTTCCCCCTCCCCTCCTTCTAGGGTATTCAGGAAGTCTTAAACAGGTATGTTCCCATCCTTGGAGCCCCTAAGCTGCCCTATAAGGGGTAGTGGAGCCTGGCCAGAGGCAGAAATAGGGAAGCAACATAGACCTGGTACCCACAGAACAGTGGCTGCTGGTGCATAAGCATCATCTTTCATTGTATTTGCTAAAGAAGCTTTGTTCATCAGTCTTTTTCCTTCTTTGTACTCAGTCAAATTCATTTCAAGTATTACCAATAAGAATTTCAGACAAAGTTATAAAATATGTGGTCTCAGGTAGATTGCCCAAGAAAGGAAAAAGACCGCAGATGTCTCCAGTCGTGCTCCAGCCTGAGTACTGGCCTTTCTCCTTTGTGGCACACTGCTTCCTCCCCCAGTGCCAAATGCACGCCTGCCCCTCCCCCAGCACAAGAATGCAAGTGTTCTCTCTGTGCCACAACCATTCAGGCTCAGTCAAATAATAATCACATCCCTGCTTTGCCTGGTGTTGCTGGGGAGGAGCACCCCATTGACTATCTCTGGCCAAGCCCGTTTTTGCTATGGTAAGGGAAGGCCCATATGGCAGAAGCAGGACTTCCGGCCCCAAGGCTTACCCCTTCTCTGCCAGGAGCAAGTCTTGGAGTCTGCGGAGGCCCGAACCAATCTCCCTGGAGCTAAAGACGGATTGCCGCGTGCTAGGGCTAAGAGAGATTTTGAAGACCTATGCAGGTAATGAATGCTAGGAGAGGTTATGGTGGGCGGTGGGAGGGACCCCTCCTAGAGAATGAAAATGGTTCAGTGCCCTCTGGATGCCCCAGCTCTCCCCCGTCCTGCTCATCTCTGAAAAAACTGTGGCTGTGTTTATCAGAGAGACCACACCCATGCCCTCTGCTGCGGGTCAGTGTCATCAACCAGGATCTTTTTCCCCAGCTGACGTGCGTCTGGATCCAGACACCGCTTATTCTCGCCTCATTGTGTCTGAGGACAGAAAATGCGTGCGGTACGGAGACACCAAGCAGAAACTGCCCGACAATCCGGAGAGATTTTACCGCTACAATATCGTCCTGGGCAGCCAGTGCATCTCCTCAGGCCGGCACTACTGGGAGGTGGAAGTGGGAGACAGGTCAGAATGGGGCCTGGGAGTGTGTAAGGAAAATGTAGACCGGAAGGAAGTGGTCTATCTATCCCCCCACTATGGATTCTGGGTGATCAGGCTGCGGAAGGGAAATGAGTACCGAGCAGGCACTGATGAATACCCCCTCCTGTCCTTGCCAGTCCCTCCCCGCCGGGTGGGGGTCTTCCTGGATTATGAGGCCCATGATATCTCTTTCTACAATGTGACTGACAACGGCTCCCACATTTTCACTTTCCCCCACTATCCTTTCCCTGGGCGTCTCCTGCCCTACTTTAGTCCTTGCTATAGCATTGGAGCGAACAACACAGCTCCTCTGGCCATCTGCTCCCTGGACAGGGAGGACTAAGAGGGCCACCATCCTAGCCAGAGGCCTTGGAGTTTCACCTGGCCCACAAGGGTCTTGGAGGGTCCTGCCACCAACAAAGATCCCCTTGAACTAAGCTGAGTCGAGGATCCAGGGAGCCCTCTGCCTGACCCAGTTGTCTGTTGCTACTGGGCCAAGGTCTCTCACTAACCTACTCATGTATAAAAGCTGAGGTTCAGTCAAATGAGCATGGAACCCCTGTGAGGGAAGCATGACAGGGCTGAGGACGAGGATCAGAGCAGTTGTAAGATAATGTGTTCGTGTAAGTCAGGATTCTGTCCTTTCTGTAGCTCATGCTCTTCCCCAGTCCCTGAGGGTGCCATAAGTAAGTCAGCGAGGGTGGTAAAGTAGATCCAACCTACAGGAAACCCTTTGCATGGGGTTTACCAGAAAGCCAAAAGATAATTGTTCATGTCCAGAGCTGGTTACTGTGCTGATACCAGGATAGGATGCTTTGCCTGAGGTTTGCTGCTACTGAGCAACCCATATTTGAGCCCAACTCTCTGACCCCCTAACTAGAGAAATGCCTTGCAACATTGCCCAGGCCACCCCAGTGTGCATCCCCTCTCTGAACATAAGCTGGGAAAATCACTCTATCTCAGACTCTAAGGAGACCTGGGTCCTGGTCCTGCCCTTTTCCCCAAGTGTCAGGATCAGAAAACCTGTGAGCCTTGTCCTTGTGTTCGCTTTACGGGTGAAGAAACTGAAGTGGCCTTAAATGCAATAAGTTGCTTCTCACAAAACTGTTGAAAAAAGATTGTAAAGCTTATCAAGTACTTCCCACATTCAAATGAAAAAAGATGGACAAACTTGCTTCTCAGGTCACCCATCTGCATATCCTTCATTACAGTTGGGTCTGAAACATCCCAGTGTCTGAGGGTTTTAGGTATCCTCAATGGAAAAATGGGTATAGTAATTGCAGACTCTCCTACCTCACAGGATTGTTGTGAAGATCTCAGATCCATCCTATATTTGTGTCCCTTTCTCAGGGATGGAGGAAGGCAGGCCATGGATTTCGCCTGCGATAGCCCTCCTGCCTCTCCTCCTTAGAGCCAGCATCTGTACAGCAGTGCCTTCGTTTGGTAGGGCCTCTCCCGACAGTCTCAGCCAGTTAGAAAGTGCCCTTGCCAGTGGCAGACTCTGGGCCACAGTGGTAGCTTGTGCATCTATTGTATGTGTTTGTGTCTGGATTAGAATGGGGACTGTGACATGAGAGTAGAGAATGGAAAAAAGAAAAAGAAAAATTTAGAACAGATGCACTGGAAAGAAGGCTCACCCACAAGCTAGTTGGGCTAAAGTTTGGTGACTTTTTGTCACCAAGGGAATCTTCATGGCTCTGGTAACTACCTAATATTCTGCCTTTCTCTTCTCTAAATCTATGACAGAAGAAGGACAAGGCATAAAAAGCCAGCTTGGGAGCCATACATTATAATGAAAGGGAATTAAAACGATATATCTGGGCTGTTGACCTTAGAATGATGGTTATATGTGCCAAAAAGAATTCATTACAGGGCTTAAGAGTATGATGTGGGAATGCTTGTGCCTGGAGACAAATTGCAAGGCAAGCAGGTGGAAACCATTGGCCTTGCCTTTTGCAAGGGGCTCTGATGTGTACATCACATTGTTGTCGCCATGATGCTGTGAAACACAACTTCTGGTGTAGTTTAAGCTTGAAGGTAGTGACTGTTGAGTCAGGATTAGGCAGCAAAATAGTTACCAGGTCAGGTATAGGCAGAAGCAAAGTAATTGCTGTAATAAAGAAGAGCAAAAATTGTCTTTCTGCTTTAATTGTATTGGTTGTTCACATAAGGAAGAGGTAAAACATGCTAAAATGGAGAAATAAACTCATTCTGCCCACCATGCTTCCAAGTCACTCATTGAGCATTAGCAGAAGGGGAAACATTTCCATTCTCTGATTGGAGAGGAATGACCTGGTAAGTCACAGACGTGGTCTTGGCAAAGGATTGAGCTGACCTACCTTAAAGGGACCATATGTCTTTGTATAGGGGGACTCCCTGGGGAATTGTTTATAGACTTGAGAAATCGATTTTGAGGAAGTTCTTCGAGTTATGTCCATGGACACTTAGCGGAAGAGGCTAGGGACCAAACCAGTGTTGTTCTTTTACTATGGTTTTATTAGGACAAATCCTGGAAGTCTCTTAGAAAAAGGATTATTAGGTGATAAATTCATTTAAACCTAGAGTGAATTGAGTAGTGTGGAATGACTTCATTGGTAACATGCTATTTTGGAGAGGGCTTTTTTTTTTTTTTTTTTTTGACATTTATAAGCTGATTTGGGTGCTGTGATTACTTGTGAGAAGTACAAGGTTAAACACATTGTTTATTTCATATTGTCTGATTTTTAAGACCAGGCAAGAATCTTGAAGTTCTTAAGTATATGAAAACCCTTTTCTCTAGGGTAGTTACTTATACTTCCTTTCTAAGAACCCCATGAAGACAAGAACCTTATTCGTCTGGTTCACAATTGTAGTCCAGTCTAGCACTGTGTGTGTGTGTGTGTGTGTGTGTGTGTAAATATTTAAGTGAGGGAACTTTCATTCATATGCCTAGAATCAAAACAAAAATAAGCTTTTGTCTCATGGGGCGTGAACAACTAGATGGTACTTAATTATAAATCTGTTAAAAAAAAAATGATTGAATGGATAATCACAAAAGTGGTCCAGAAAGGGAGGAAGCAGGTGGTCACTGCAGAGGGTAGAGTGTCTGCACCACTCCCTGGAATGCCTAGGATATCTCCTCCATCTTGGTGAGATCATTCACTACAAGGCAGGGATGAGCTTTGCCCATCCTTACTTTATTAGCAGAGAAACAAGGGGTGCAGTGCCTGAGCCTTGAGGTGAAAGACAATGAAAAGGGAAGATAGATAGTCCTGCAGAGAGACAGGGAAAATCCTTGGGACTCCCCACAGGAAATCCAGTCTCCCATTATTCAAGCAGGATTGATTTTAATCTCTTAAGATCCAAACACTGAGACTCTGTATGGGTCCCAGGCACTAGTTAAATGGCATAGATTGCTTAGTGTGAGAGGGCAGGGGTCGTATCTGATCTGCACGGGATTTTCTGTTGGAGGGTAGCGATGGCAGGGAACTAGTCCACTTTGGAAGTGTGTAGTTCAATATCTGAGCGCTAACAGTGGGTTCCAGCTCACTTCAGGGAATACCAGTGTGAATGAAACACAAAGCAGGGCAGACTTCTGAGAGAAACGCTGGGGAGAAATTTCTGTTTTGAGTGCCAAGCTGAACTATGCCTTTGTTGCTTGACATCAGATTCTTTTTTTTTTTTTTAAAGATTTTATTTATTTATTCCTGAGAGATAGAGAGAGAGAGGCAGAGGCAGAGGGAGAAGCAGGCTCCCCACGGAGCAGGGAGCCCGATGCGGGACTCGATCCCAGGACCCTGGGATCATGACCTGAGCTGAAGGCAGACGCTTAACCAACTGAGCCACCCAGGCGTCCCGACATCAGATTCTTTAATACGTCTGATATTCTTGTATTTGATGAACATAGTCAATTCTTTGGGTTGCTTATGGAGAAACAACAGTGTGACTTTTCAAAATGTAAATCTTATCAAATGTGCTTCACCACCTCATGATGCTGATTTGTTTTTATGTTAGGGAGAAGTTTCTTTTTTCTGGTCTTTGGGAACTCAGTGCATTACTATCAGGTGTTTAGAAGCTGAATCCTACTTCATGGTATTCAGAAATAGAATACATTCTAGGTAGGTAAGTAATTTTAGTACTAGCAAAGGTACAGATGCCAAGTTGTTAAGCAGATTGTTTGGAACAGCTATCACATGAGTGTTGACCTACACGGGAATACACTCTCAATAGTGCCTAGAACTACTCCTTAAAAATATGGAATTAAAAATTTATTCGTTGTACAGACACTATATCAGATGTTGTGTTATGTGGTTTCTATTCATCATCTTCTTTAATCTTTAATATCCTCTGAATTAACATTGTATTCTCCATCAGTAGCAAGGAAATAGTAAGACTCAGATATAATAACTAGTTATCAACACTGTTAGGAAATTATCTTTTATTAAGATTTTCAAGTGTACCAGAGTCAAATATACATATCTGTCACATTTGAAATCTTTTTCTTTTAACATATACTGGTTATTCAGGTTAAGACTTTCTGAAAGGGGAAAATAAAAACAAAGACCAAATATATGTCTGGTGATGAGAAGAATAGGGACATTTCGGCTTCATTATTGATACTGTTTTCTATTAACCTTCTCATCCCAGGCACATTTCCAAGGTGGTGTCCAGATGAAGAAAGACCTATATTATATTTGATCCCTTTCTTTTATACCTTACAGTTAAGTTATACAGAACCAGACTAGGAAGCAAAGAGAAAGATGTCCACAGTCAAACTCACATTGCCTTAACTTCTGTTGCTTCAAAGCAAGAGGCTGGTGTTTAGTATGCTGACTCCAACTAGCTTAACAATAGGGGATAAATTAAAAGGATGTAGAGGTATCTTACAGAATTTAATAACAGGGATGCACCTGGGTGTCCAAAATGAGTTGGAATCAGAGAACCAGAGACTCCATTTCTTCATCCCATCTTGCTAATCTGCTTATCTAGCTGTGGAACATATTTGTTTTTCCAAGTTCACGTGTTAGAAAATGACCACAGTCAGTGAGCCCAAGTTTATATCTCCTCAGATAAACTGGGATTCAGTTTGACTAGAGACAGACTCTGATCCAGGTATAAGCACATGACCCAAGTTGAGTGGATTCATCACTGGGCCAGAAGGCAGGGTTATATATTAACAGTTGCTTCCGTAATAATCACATGAGTAAATGAATAATTCTGGGAAAATCAGCCAGGTGTGGGGGGGACCAAACAGTTGGTTTTTTTCTGCGGGGAGGAGGGTGGAGGGGGGTGGATACTCAGTTGAAAATAAGGGTCAGAAGCTAAGGAAAGAAAAAACCCAAATCTATATTCTCTGCCCAGACTTACCTCTTATACAGATACTAGTTGATTGAAATCATTAAAAATGTCAGAAAATTAATCATTTCATATGCATTCTTCCTAGAAATTGGAAAATTAGACAAGAATATAATTTACAGCTTCATCTTAGAACTCTTTATGGTGCTAGGCAAACCACACCAGCTCTACAGATTTCTAAGTCATGTTCAAATGCTTGATCTTGAGTCATCTTGATTGCTCAAGATCTGAACAGAATCTGTGTTTATGAACCCAGTTTGGAGTGGTCAAAGAGGCAGTGCATCAGCAAGCTCCATGTTCGCTTCCGTATTTATTTGGTTCTCAGGCCATAAATGATGGGGTTTAAGGTGGGTGGGATGACCAAATACAAATCAGCTAAACAGTACTTGAGTGTGGAGAGGCACTGTATCCTTCCCTAGCCAGGCCACATAGATGGATGCCATCCCAGGTAGGTAGTATAGAGCCATAACCCCCACGTGAGAGCCACATGTGCTTAATGCTTTTAGCTGAGCATTCTTTGAGGAGAGACCACATACTGCCTGGAGAATCAGGTGATAGGAGGCAGCAATGAAGGCAACATCAGAACCCAATAATGGACGAGCCAATCACACTGTAGAGACTACTGGGCATAGGGTCAGCACATGCCAACTTGGCCACAGCTATGTGCTCACAGTAGGAATGGAGAATCACATTGGAGCCACAGAAAGGCAGATGACTTAACATCCAACTCAGTGGAGTCATAAATATGACAGCTCTGATGGTGATGGCCACACTCATTACCAGCATCAGTTGAGGTGTGAGAATTCTCTTGTAGTGTAGGGGCTTACAGATGTCTATATAGCGGTCAAAAGCCATGGCCAGCAATAGCCCTGTCTCCACAGATGTGGCTGCGTGGACAAAATACATCTGAGTGAAACAAGCATTAAAACTGATGGAACCATCTCCTGAAAAGAAGATGCTCACCATCTTGGGTACCACAGAGGAGACCATAACAATGTCCACAGCAGCCAGAACATACAGAAAACAATAAATGGGCTCTTGTAGAGTGAAATCCATCCAGATTACAGTCATTATGTGTGTGTTTCCTAACAGGGATATGATATACATGGCACTCAGTGAAATAGCCAGCCAAAGATGTGAAAACTGCAAACCTGGGATACCCACAAGGAAGAACGTGGCAGGGGTTTCCATTGTGTGGTTATAGAGTATCCCCAGCATCACAGATGAGACTGCTTTCCTGTTAACACATAAAACGATGTAAGAAATGGTTGCAGTCCTGTAAGACTTGTTCCCAACTGTATAGTGCTAGGGACACCCGGTGGCATTTTCAACTCAGTGGACTACAGGATCAGAAAACTGACATCTGACAAATTTATCTTGTTCTACCTTCCATCTTCCTCAGTATTCTTTGTCTTCCTAATTTCTGTTTATTGTTCAAGTATCAGCTCATGGTTTACCTCTTTGGGGAGTCTTCTCTACCTCCTTCCCCAGCCCATACTGAGGCTAAATTAGGTATCTCTGTTCTGAGCTTTCATGGAATCTCCCATGTTGACCTCTGAAGGACCTAAACTGACAATCCTAATACTCTACCTATGACTTCATTGTATTCAGTCAACCATGTGTGTCTTGTTCATGGCCTTATACCAAGTGTGTGACCCATAGCTCTGGTGCACAAGTCTATTAAAAGATCTGTGTACTCATAGCAAACAGTTTTCATAGAATGAGTGAGAAAACAGGAGTTTATCTTCTATCTTTGTATGTTCAGTTTCTGATACTTAATGATTATTGAGTGAAACAATGAACTTAAAATTGATCATGGCACATTTTGTGTCCTTGGTATGTATAGTGCCTTGGCAATAGATGAATGAAGCATCCTTGAAGAAATAGATTGATGGATTCAGGAAGATAAGAGAACAATATTACCACTTTCCATTGGAGATAATAAACTGTCTGGAAATATTTATGATCACCACCTTCCCTTTTAATTTCTCATCAGGGGTATATCCCTAAATAATTGGTTTGTCAGATTGATGGGAAGGACTGGCCCCAGGATCCCAGACTGCGGTAGACATGTTCTCTGTTAACCAAGCACTAGACACTCACCCAGTTCCCAATCCTAACCATGGAACATATATTTGCTCCTTCCATTTACCCCCAGCACTAATTGACTTCACACCCAGGTACCAACAGCAGGCTTGATGGGAGTCCTTAGAAGTTTTCTAAAAATCCAAATTTCTGGGATTGTAAACTGGTCTTTATTGAAATAGACAAACCATTACCACCACCACCAACAACAACAACGAAAATCCCTAAACATAGAAATGCCTTATAATGGAACAGATTGAATAAAGTACTGAGCTCTGCTTCATGGTCAGATTAAAAGAACTTTGCTGTGTATAGTCACTGGGTGACACATCTTCAGTGACAGACAAAGAGAAGACAGTGGAAAGCTTTTTGAAGTAGGATGGTAGTAAAGAGTGGGGGAAAAAAATAATTCAGCATATCCTTAAGACTGTCATGTGTTTTCTGTATGCCACAAATTCAGAGTTGATCCATCATTGCTTAAAGAGCTGAAGAGGAACCTAAGGAACCAGAATGCCTCACCCAACCACCCCACTCACCTCTGATCCAGGATCTTCCTCCTCCCCTCACACTGCCCTATATCCACCTTTCTTCTGAGGGCTGTCTCAGCTGGTACCCTGCTCATCCCTCCTCTCTCCAGCCGTGGCAACTTCTAGCTGGTCATACCTTTCATTCATTTGAGGGTTTTATTGTCCTCATATCTTTTTCTTCTTAATTAGCATGGTTGGAGGTTTATATATAACTATTAGTCTTTTCAAATGACAGGACAGGTTAGTCATCTTTTTTCATTTTTATTTCACTTTTTATTGCTACTGAAAATTTTCTTGTTAAGATCAATGGTGGTCCCCATCAATGATGTGTAGCCATTCCAGGAATTTCTTTTCATTCTTTATTTTACTTGACCTATCCAAAACATTTAACATTACTATCTGCTCCTGCATTTGTTAACTTTTTGTTTGAAGTTAACATATATACTGTAAAATGCACAGATGCATGTGTACAGCTTGATAAATTTTTATAAAGTTTAAAATAAACATGAACACACCCACATAGCCACTGCCCAGAGCAACATAGAGACACAATTGCTTCTGATTGTTGAGGGGTACTATTCAGAAAGCTCTGGTCAAGCTCTCCTAAGACATTTTCAGCCCAGAATCTGCCTCTTCTTTCAATCCTATAGACATTTACATGAAAACCTGGAGGGCCAATCACTAAAGAGAAGTTTGCACAAGTCAACTTCAGTAACTAAATCAGAAGATATGTGAGGATTTTTCATTCCTATTTAAAGAGTGGGAAATACACAATTCAAATTGAAATTGTCTTAAAGGTAAAAGCAGTAATGCATAACTTACTTGAATGGAGCCTTTGTGTTTATGATAACCCTGTGCCTTCCTTCTACAACCAAATAAACATGCTCCCAATCAGTCTACTGCTCAGTTTCTTTTCTCAAAACTCCCCTTGGACCCTGAAAACTGTCTCTCCTTTATCGAAAGTTTGGACTTACTCCTTCCTTTCTCAGTTTTGAAGCAAAGCGTAGTGTTCCCTGTTCTCTCTTTCTCTCCCCATCCTCTCATCATTTCCAAGAGGTGATCTTCATATCAGCACTACCCACCAGACCTGGCCAGCCCTTTACAGTGTGATGGAGGACTTATATCCTCCTTTCTAGGTTGACCCTGGCCTTGAAACTCCGTCAACCCAACCCCTGGTCCCCAGGTCAGTTACCCACATTCCTGTTGTATTCTCTATTCAGCTTCCTCTGTTGTGTCCACATTTCTTTCCCTTCAGGAGGAGCAGGAAGAGCCACATAAAATCAAAGATGAACAACATAGAGTCACAATGAGGAGTGTTATCACTTTCAAAGACCTCCCATTGGAGTCCTCTTTTCCCCTTTAGATTCTCTATCATCCTGCTTTTCCCCTGGACACCCCAGCTTCCCTTGGCCTCTGCCAACAGCCAAATCCTGCAACTCCTCCCAAGACTGGTTGGTTGTTTTTCCTCTGTGTTCTGGCCTCTGGGACTTTCCAGATTATGGAAGGAAGCAGACGCTTAGCAGACGAAGAGTCTTTGTTTCTTCAAGTGCTCAGAAAATACCTAAAAGAATATAGAGTGAATCCTGAAAAGAAAACAAAAGGCCCACAATGAGTTAGATTTGTTAAAGCTTGCTTTGTGCCACGTGCCCTGCTAACTACTTACAAAGACGACCTCTCTGTTACATTTTCACAACCCTCTAAAGCGGTTGCCATCATCACATCTACATTTTATAGATGACACTGAAGTGCACAGAAGGTCACGAAGCTTCTAAGCCAGAGAATCAGGATTCAAATTCTAGTAGTCCTAATTCATTTTACTTTGTTGTAGAATTCTTCACACTGGTAGTATACTTCATCTCTCAAAGTCCACTTAACTGTTCCTCAGCTCTGCCTGGGGTCTTGGGGTGGGCTTCACTGGCTAAATATATCTCACGTCACTGTGTTATAAGGTCTTATTCGAACAGAGAAGGGAAAGAGTATAAGGTAGAGCAAGGAAGATAAGCTTTTCAAACTGGGGGAGGGGCATGGACCTCAGAAAAATAGGAAAAGACAAAATATTCTCCAAACAGAGAATAAACTGAAGAAGATAGAGTGCAGGGTACTTGAAAGAGAATGAAATAAATGAGACTAGAGGGCTGAATGGCCCATGTTTTAAAGGCCATGACTTCTGCTTAGGCACCATCATGGGGCAGGAATGAGAAGAAAGAAGCCAAAAAAAAAAAAGAGAGAAACCACAGGCACAAGTTATAATTTCTCTCTCTTTTTTTTTTAATGGCAAAGGATATAGAGATACTGGAAATACAAAAAATCAAGAGACAATGCTACATGCCCCCAACTCCCCAGTTCCATATCAGAGACAGAGTTCTCAGTGATGCAAATGGTGAGAGGCATTCTGTTGCCTTTGAAAGGAGTAAGTGTGCTTCATGCCTTTCTCAGCCTGACCCAGAATATTCCTAATGATGATGCATGGTGGTTTAAGTTCAATTTACTAGGTTTAGCATCTATTAGAAGGTCCAGTCTTCACACCTGCAAGAGAACTAGTCCCCAAAACTGCTGTGCTGAAAAGTTTAAACCCTGTGGGTCCCCATTGTCTACAGGATAATTCAGAGAACAAACAGAATGTAAACCTAAACAGCAATGTGGAATATTGGAAAGCAGGCGGGCAGTGAAATGCAGGAGGCAAAAGGGTTGCTAATGCAAGTAGCCCCAACATGAGATGAGGTAGCTAAGCTGCCACAGTGCCCATGGGGACAGATGGACTGCTTTTACCTGGGATTCACCCTGGCTCCTGCTGAGGCTTCAGTGGCAATAGTGGATCTCACAAACAAGGGGTGGCTTTCAGATCACCACACCCAGTCCCACACAGAAGAAGCACTCCCAAAAGGGCAAAGACCCAAGGAGACGGGGTAATGATAAAGGAAAGGTATTCTATGTAGAAGCAAGGGTTGTCAACATTTTTTTTCCCTTTTGGAATGTCATAGCCTGCATAATATGGAAGAATACCTGGCATTACATGAAACTAATTATTGAACAGAGCTGTCACACATAGCCGGAAAAGGAATAAAGCAGAAAAATTAGTGTAAAAGAATTTTGTGTTGCTGATAATTTAATTAGAATTTTATATCAATACTTATAAGGAAGTTAGTCTTTAGTTTTCCTTTTTGTGCAACTTTTATCAGGTACAGCCATCAATGTAATACTTTGTAAGGAAAAATATGAATGTTTTTCTTTCTCTACAATTTCTCTCTCTCTCTCTTTCTGTTAGTCTCCTATAAAATTATCTAAATCTAGTGGGGTTTTGTGTTTTGTTTTTGTTTTGTGGAAGTGAGAGCAGGGACTGGACTTGGGTCCTCCCAACCCTAACCGCCAAGTCCAGCATTCCTTGGTAGCTGAAACTCTATGTCCTTGAGGAGTATACCTTCCAGGATGACTAAAACTCCATGCCCTTGAGTAGCATTTGTTGCAGGACTGCAGGGGCAGGATGCTTATTGAAAGAAGCAGGCTTACAGAAAGGAGGGACTGGACTACAAAGACTGGTGAGGACCCGACCAAACCAGTCTGCCCCAAAATGAACCCCAGTGCTGAACTTTCACCAACATTTTCCCATCATTATAACACTAA